AGCTTCCAGCACTTAAGCACTTGCAGACTGTAACCTATGAATCTGCATCTGCGAGCCCCCAGATGTCCCCGTCATCGACCGCCTCCGAGCCTGGGCAGCTGGGCTTTCGCAAATATGCCTGCCCAAACTGCAAACTGATGTTTGCAAAGTGGTCTGCGTGCCAGCATCATCTCGCGAGTGATATGAACTGCTGGTGCGTTCTTGGAAAGGCCCGGCTGCCATCCGATGTGACTGAGCTTCAGGAAAAGTGCAGAGCCACCGCGGAAGAACTGCAAAAGGACTGCAACGTAGGCCTGAGCTTTGGCGCAGCCTTTGTGGACGAGGCCAGTAAGGACAAAGTCCCGCATTTTCAGTAGCCCTTGGTAAGATGCCAGATGGGAGAATTCAGGACACAGATGTGGCACCGAGTCCTCTGTCTTGAAAGGTGAAAAGAAAGACTTGCTCGGCACATGTTCAGCTTAGTCTCAGCCCGATACCATCCAAAATCCTTTGCAGTTCCTGTGGCAAATTTGCCCTAGGGTCGAGATCTGGTTGAAAGAGCCCCAAAAGTTTTGCGACCTCCTCCTCCTCCTCCTCTGAAGCCGTAACGTGTAGCATCGTGTGACCAAAGAATGATCTTAAGCAGAAGCTGACTTCTACAAATTGTTGTCACATTGGCATGTAATTGTAAGCTGATGACCATATCCCTCACATCTTGCTCCCTGCTGATGCAACTTAGCCTGAGTTCCACCGGCGAACTCCAGCCACAAATCCCGAGTAGCATAAACCCCCCAACGACTCAAATGTCGTGAGTCTAGAATTTGTTGTGGAGCCGTTCAGGGGACCGACTGCAGGGTCTCTGAGATGCCTTTGGCTGCTTTTCCAGTGTGGAGCATGTGCCGCCCGTTGCCAACACTGAATTTCAGAACAACTAGGCCGGGACGGGAGTGACCTCAGTGGCGAATCAGGGACACTTGGGAACTGCGTTGCAGCGTTTTTTATTGTGCGCATTTCGGCTCTCATGCGCCTGATGGCACAAAGTCAGAGAGCGGCCGTTGCCGTGTGAGACAGCTTCATGTAAGCCAACTCAGGCCCTTGAGAATCCAACCCGCCGTTCCTATCAGATCTGCACGGATCACAGTAAACCCTGGGGTGCCCTCCATGCTCTCTAAGGCAGCGTGTCTTGATGCTCGCCTCCATATGCAGAGAGCTGCCGCGCCCCTGGTGGTCGAGGTAGTTCATGCAAGCTGGGGCTGCTGTCACAAAACTCCCTGCCTGTCTGGAGAATCCACTTTCTCGGACCGACTGAAGACTGCACGGCTGAGGATGGCAACATGTTGGTAGAGCGGGCGACCAGAGTGCGCCAGCGCTTCCTGCACAGAGTTTGATCAGCCGAGAATGACACAGGAAGTTCATCACCCTTACTGACTAGCAGGTATTCCGGATGGGGGACTACTTTCTGGTGCGTTGTGGGCTTACCATGCTGTCTTCTAGCTTGCGTGAGAACCACAGGCAAGTCTTCCAAGCTTATTTAAAGTTTCAGATTCGACATGTACTTACTTGCCTGAGGTCTGAAGCTTCCATGCGCTGTCTCGAAGTATGAGCTTTGTTTCCACATGGCCACAGCCCAACGTCTGGGCCCGTGTGTCATCAGGTATAAATGAAAACCTACATGCGTACAGCATACGTACATGCACACATGCGTACACGCGCACATGTACATACGTACATACGCACATACATACTTAGGTACATACGTACATACGTACATTCGTACATACGTACATCCGTACGTACATACATACATGCGCGCACACACACACATACATACATACATACATACATACATACATACACATATGCACATACAAATAAGTGAATGTCAGCGTATTCGAAACTGCATGCGTATCGAAATGTTCAATGCACATAAGCTACATAAGAATACGCAGGTATGTGTTATCTACATCCATATATTGTCTGCCTTTGGACCTTGAGAGATAGATTCTCTATGTTACAATACATTATGTGATGTATATTCTGTCATTTTGTGTTGCCTGCATAGTGTTATTACGGTACATGGGCTGTGTGATAAGGACCGGAGGAGCTGGCGGAGCACCCTTTCAAGCCACTACACTCAGCTTTTCTTCAAACTCTTATAAGGTTTTGTGTAGACAAGCTTAGAAGTTTCAAGCCCTCCTTCAAGGAAGCTTATGTCAGCTTGAGTCAGCTTCAGGTACACCATCAAGACCTCGGAGTTCCGGGCTTGAAGTTTGCAAGTGTCCTCTTTGATGTGAAGTGGATTTGTTAAGCCTGAGAGGTCTGCACCCTGCCCTCTGAGCTCTCTGGAACATACGGCCTACCACCGCTTTGGAGTCTGCCCAATGCAACTGCCTTAGACAGAATATGTAACGGCCGGTGATAAGCGCGGTGGTGCCACAGCTGTTTGGCTTGTCTGTCAGTGTAAGGCAGCTGTATTGAAGCTAATGTTCCTCTTCGTTATCACCGTGCTAGTACTTGCAACAGCAGCTCGCGGCGACCGCGGCAGCAGCAGCGGCAGCAGCGGCAGCAGCGTCAGCAGCATCAGCAGCAGAGAAGATCAAAGTCGTAGTAGCAGTGGTGTCCACGAGCCAAAGCAAGGCAAACACTGGTGGTCTGAAATCTGCGCGTGCACACAACTTGACCAGCCTGTGAATGTACCCACCATGAGAAGCTAACAGAATTGCCAGCCGAGCGGGACACTGCGGGCCTCATTTTTTTTTGCCTTCATCGCCATTCCCAGGCCTGCCGCGGCACAAAGCTTTGGGATAACAATTTGCTGGCCGATCGACTATGCGGTCTTGCCTGGCAGTGTGCCACGAGCTTACAGAAATTAGTGCTTTCATGGAACCACCTGTGCATTGTAAACTGGCTGTCACTGTAAAATACTACCTTAATCCACGCTCTTGATGAACAAGAGGGGCCTCCACCCTTTCTTTTCCCTGTTCAACAATATCCGAGCCACAACATTCTAGAGATCCGACAAGGCAAAGTAAGTCATACGAAGTACAAGTAGTACAGTTACAGTTAAGCAGGAGCAGTAAGAGCTGGAGTAAGAGGTAAGAGCAAGAGTGTGAGTCAGAGGATGCGGAATTAGAACTAGATGTAGGGAGTAGTCAAGGAGTAGGCAGTGAGAGTAAGAGAGGCAAGATTCGGAGAAGCAAGGGATAATGAATCTAAGCCTTTTAGTTGACTAAACTCAAACTTCTTTTTAAAGCTCTTATTTCGTTTGGAGTAGATGTTAATTTGATTCTAACAAAAATCTGGTTTCAATTGGGTTTCACTTGATTTTGAGTAGCAAAGGTTCCGAAAATATTGACCCTGAAAGCATTTGCTGTTATTCTGGGGCAGTTTTCCATAAATGTAAAGAGAGCTTCTCGCAAGGTCCGTAAGGGGCAGCTCGCGAAGCAATGTTTGCGCCGTTCATTCTAGATGATTGGTCAACAAGGAAAATCAGGTCTTAGTGCAGTCACCATCCTTGTTGAGGATTCGAGGTTTCAAAAAATCAGCTTCAACTTTCAGACCCTTAGGATTTCAAATTCAAGATGGGTTCTGTTGCCTCAATTCCAGGGGATTTCTGGCTCTGCCTTCAGTGCTCTTGGACCAATATTTTGGCCAAAGCTTTTGGCTTTAAATCTTGGGGGAGTGCGTGGCTTAATTAAGTCATAGACCAGCATTAAGCGGCCAGCTGTGTGACCGCTTTGTCCTGCTATTCTATGCAGAACTCTCGCGTGACAGCCACCTGGAAGCATGGTCTTGTCTTCCTATTCTTTTCCCGGATTGGGCTTGCACATGAAGTGAGAGCGGTGCGTGAAGCTCAGGTACTTCTTGGTGCACCTTCACCCGAGTGCGATTCGATCCGAGGCACACGTGCAGTATCATGTCTGCCCGTGGCCAAAGCCAAAGTCTTCTTTGCAAGAAGGCGCATCAACCCTCTAGCAAAGCGGCGGTCAACCATGGTCAACCCTGCGGCAGTCGCAAGAACCAGCATGACAATCTTCGGCATGCTATCAGGAGTTGCTTGTGCCTGTCAGGGCCGTTCAGGAAAGTTAGGGTCACAACCAGCTGCAGTATCAGGAACCGGCTTCTAGTCTCGCATCAACACATATACGAGAGACTTGAAGTTGGTGTGCTGGTGTCAAAATCTTCTGAACATGTGGCAGGAGCAAAATAGGCCAGGATAACCACACCAGCCCCGGACCGTTATCATGATCTCTTACTCCTAGCTCTAG